TATGGTAAAATAGGCAATCAAACAATACAGTATCCACTAGTAGTGACTACAACATTCTAACTTTTATTACCTTTTTTATTAATATGTATCTAAAACCACAATCTTTCCTTAACCTTAATCAAATTCCTACCCAAAGACAGGCGTCTTTGTTATTACATTTCTTATTAAAGTGTAACCAAAATCACCATCTTTCCCTAACCTTAACCAAAGTGCATCTGTTGCCTAAACCTAAGACAGGAGTCTGGACGCCAGCCTGCAGATCTAGTGTCAAGGTCCTGCGCTTTTTACGTCTAAGGCCAACAACCTCCCTCTGTAGCTGATGCAGTACATTAAAATTGTGTTTCATTACCTGAAAGAAACAGCTCTGTGTATAATCCAGGCAGCGAAATGTTGCCACAATAACGTAATCAAGAAAGCAGTTTAACATACAAACATTATTTCTAGAACACAAGGTTGTGCCCTGACACTGCATCCTGCATTACAGACTTCCCCACTGGTGCCATCCATATTCACATTCGTCTCGTCTCGTCATCCTCCGCTTATCCGGGTCCGGGTCGCGGGGGCAACAGCCTCAGCAAAGAAGCCCAGACAGTCCTCTCCCCAGCCACCTCCGTCAGCTCTTCCGAGGGAACCCCGAGGCGTTCCCAGGCCAGCCGGGCGATGTAATCCCTCCAGCGTGTCCTGGGGGGCCCCGAGGTCTCCTCCTGGTTGGACATGCCCGAAATACTGCCCAAGGGAGGCGTCCGGGAGGCATCCTTACCAGATGCCCGAACCACCTCAACTGGCTCCACTCGATGTGGAGGAGCAGCGGCTCTACTCCGAGTCCCTCCCAGATGTCCGAGCTCCTCACCCTATCTCTAAGGCTGAGCCCAGCCACCCTGCGGAGGAAACTCATTTCGGCCGCTTGTACTCGTGATCTCGTTCTTTTGGTCACTACCCAGAGCTCATGACCATAGGTGAGGGTTGGAATGTAGATCGACCGGTAAATCGAGAGCTTCGCTTTCTGGCTAAGCTCCCTTTTCACCACAACGGACCGGTTAAGCGTCCGCATCACTGCTGACGCCGCCCCAATCCGCCTGTCAATCTCCCGCTCCATCCTACCCTCACTCGTGAACAAGATCCCGAGGTACTTAAACTCCTCCACCTGAGGCAGGACCTCCCCCCCGACCTGGAGTGGGCAATCCACCCTTTTCCGGCTGAGGACCATGGCCTCACACTTGGAGGTGCTGATTCTCATCCCAGCCGCTTCACACTCTGCGAACCGTCCCAGCGAGAGCTGGAGGTCACTGTTCTATGGAGCTAGGAGGACCACGTCATCCGCAAATAGCAGGGACGAGATCCTCCTGTCACCAAACCTGACGCCCTCCACCCCTCGGCTGCGCCTAGAAATTCTGTCCATGAAAGTTATGAACAGAACCGGTGACAAAGGGCAGCCCTGGCGGAGTCCAACCCTCACCGGGAACAGGTCCGACTTACTGCCAGCCATGCGAACCAGACTCGTGCTCCTTCGGTACATGGACTGTATGGCCCTTAGCAAACTCAGGTTCCTGCCACCTACAGAACTTTTCAGACGATTCACCCATTGTTGGTTGCATCAATAAACATGAGGAAGAGGAGTGCAGAGGACTGAGAGGCCCTGTTTACTCTTGGTGTCATCTTGCTTCTCGGGTGATCCAACCTCAAATAGAGAGCTCTCAGCCTGTCTGTTCACACCTGGCGTTAGAATGTGTCTCCACATGCATCTCGTGTGACCACTTGCGATCAGATCTCACTTCTCCCTTCTTTATACAAATAAACACATACATCAAAAACCAAATGTGTTGTTGTTTTTAACTTTAGTAAAATACAGACAGTTCCTTGGCATGTTCAAGGCAGACCAAATCACGCATGTTGGACTTAGCTGCCAGGACCCTATTGTTTTGCTGCATGTTCTTCTTCTTCTTCCGAGGAAATCATACTTCCCATGCGCAAAAAATCACCAAACTTTGCACAAAGGTCCAGTCCCATGCCAGATTGCCTCAGCTGCAAAAACAGGCCAATAGTCCTGATGGTGGTGCTACAGCAAGCCTCTAAAGTTCAAAATTTTGAAAATTCACAACAAATCAACCATATGTGCTACAGATTTGCAATTTTCACCAAAATGTAGCCCCAATACTGAAGAAACTTTTGTACATTTAAATTATTATTGTACTATTGCAAATTATGAAGTCCATCACTCTGTTTTTTTCAAAAACTGTAAAACTTATTAAACCTATCTCCTCTCACAATTTTTGCTCAATTGACACCAAACTTGCTACAGAGCATCTTCAGACTGTCCTACACAAACGATCTACACAGATTTTTGATTTATTGAAAATTGAGCCTACAGTGCATCCAAATCTTTGACTGTAAACGGTATTGTAAACATATACTTGCAAATTCTTGCTAAATACATTTTCAATGTTCATTAAAAAAATAACAAAATTTTGGAGTCATGGTAGATGACGTTTGGAATATATCAGAATTTTATCTCAAAAACTGAATTTTGTTACACCATTTTGAATTTTGCTCTAATGTGAACAATTGGAGTCAATGCAAAATGGCATTTTTAAACATCAGTTTTTCACTTATGGAGCCAATAAATCATTGTTAAAAACAAATTATCAACATCTCCATGCTGTCTAGATGCAATTTGTGTATTTTCATATTTTTGTCTTAATAACTGAATTTTTGACAGCCGTTTGAAATCTGCCTTTATACACTAACAGCTGCTGTCTTGCACACAGGTGACTGGCTTAGTCAATTTGTGAAGCTACATGTGACATTTCTGTTTGCCAATTAGCTCAGTGAGATAGAGGATGGTTCTTGGTGTTGAAGATTGTGAGTTCAAGCCTCAGCTCGTGCAACACTTCCAAATGAGAAATCTACCTAAACTTTTCATAAAGGTCCAGTCCCATGCCAGATGTCCTCAACTGGAAACACAAGACAATAGTCCTGATGGTGGCGCTACAGCAAGCCTCTAAATTTCAAAACTTTGAAAATTCATAACAAATCAACCATATGTGCTACAGCTTTGGAACTTTCACTTTGAAATTTGCTTTTCCATGGCATGGATGGCTACTGTCTGGCACCCTGATGCTTGGCTTAGTCAATTTGTGAAGCCACACATGAACTGTCACTTGCCAATTAGCTCAGTGAGATAGAAGACGGACCTCAGTCTCAGAAGTTGTGAGTTCAAGCCTCAGTTAAGGCAGAACGGACATTCTAATGTGACAGTCCTATGTTCAGGCATCATGCTATGTGGATTAGAGACTACTAAGGTTAAAATAATTATGATCCAGGCAGTTTTGCGGAGAGACAAATACTCTTTATCAACACTTTTCCCTGTTATCCCTTGTCTCTTTTCCCTGTTTATTTGGCTTAGCTATCAGTCAATATGCAGAGTCTATCCAATAGCTACTTTTACATTTTAAAAAATGTTTTTGTCTTTGTCACCATGGATAATGTTTAGCTTTAAGTTAGATCAGGCCAATTTGTTCATAATTGCTAGCAGTTAATGTTATTCTTACTTTCTTGTCCTTGAGTTTTTTCTTTCCTTTGTATATTATGAGTCTGATCACTTCAGCCACTCATGCACAATTTGAAGGGCATGCCATAATTATATGATGTAACTTCTATGTTGTGATATGCTTTGTTTTAGTGTGTGTGTTGCACAGAATTGCCTAATTTTGCCTAAAATTGCCCGGCCCCGACCATTGCTGCGCAGCAGCTATAATAAAATATATTTTTGGGGCTTTTTGCCTTCATTTGATAGGATCGTTATGGTGTAAAGAAGGGGGGGAGGGGAGACTGACAAGCAGTAAAGGGCCATGGGTTGGAATCAAACCCGCGTCGCTACAGCAGGAACACAGCCTTTGTACATAGGATGCCTGCTCTACCAGGTGAGCTAGTGGGCAACCCACTACTGAAATATTTTTGATAGAAAATACGAAACCATTTCTATCAAAGTCCAGTAAATACAAATTACAACATACTTTTTCCTATTTCAAATTCATATTTCAAATTAATTTATCAGAATTATTGCTGATGTACTTTAAACTTCATATTCCAAAGTATACAATCAGTGCATAAATCAATAATTAATTAAATTAATTAGTAATTTCTTTGGCACTGGGTGACCAGTTACAACTACTTCTTTCTTTTGGAAACACAGGGAGTACGTGAGACAGCCCTGAAGCATAGCAGTATATATATGTTTTGATAAAGAACTGGCTAAGAATCATTCCCACCATCAAATACATAAGAGCTCACGTTAAAGCCAAGCAGCTGCCCTTGAAATCTGATGACCTTTAACAGCATGGGAAGTGGATATTATTACATATGAAATACGTTAAGCACAAGAGAGCTCTATGGCGCTCTGTACTTTGGCCAAGTGTTTAGGGAACAATGCAGAAAAAAATATAGGCAGGGCATCCTGAATACAGTCAGAAAAAAATGATAGAACAATAATTCCTTATAATAATGTCACCTGGACTGTGTTTGAGTCCAGAGCAGGACCAAATTATGAGAAAGACAAATTCAAGCTTTTCTCACTGAAACAGCTTTGAAACATATTTTATGATATGCATGGAGCCCCTTTAATCTTATCACTGAAACTTTCCGGTTGGAAAGTACGCTTACGTAAGTCACTCAAATTACTCAGGGTCCTGAATGCAGCATGGACACAAATGTAGCTACAGGAATGAAAAATGCCTGTTGTTTTACAATATAATGTCTGTAACAAGCGTGTTGCGGATCTGTGGATAACTGCTTGTCTTAAAGCTACAGCAAGTATCTCCCTGGAGCTATAATAAAATGTTGGAGACCTGTTGGAGACCTGTCGGCGTCCATTAGTGTAAAACTTTAACTGAAACCATGCAGGTCACTGTTGTTTGTTGCTGAGAGGCGTGATGAGAGGGGGCGGGTACTGTGCGTGTGTAAACCTGCCTCTCTAATAAGTTTTAGCAGGAGCAGAGTGAGAGGAGACAAAGAACAAGACGTCCAGATAACGACTTGGATGTACATACAGTCTGCAGCTGGCAACAGGCGAGGATTTCCTTATCGGTCAGCATCATGGCATCAGAGGAGAGGCGGCTCGTTACAGTCAGGATGAAGCTGGTTATCATGTGCCTGTGCATGCTGCATTTGTCTCTGACCAGTGCTGGACTCTTCATCCACAACGATCTGCAAACTGCCCACACCAATGTGTCAGTCAGCAGGGGAAAAGCCTCTCAAAGTACAGGTGAGTGCACGGGCTGCTTTCTGTACCTCATCATCAGTCGCTGCTGCTGCTGCTGCTGTTTTAGTCGGATAACACAGGTAATAAAAGCAGAGATCAATAAATTCAATAATGAAGACTAACTTGTTTATAACTGTATAAATAATTGGCGGTTTAAAAAGTAATATAAAGGTCACTATGAACAAGCCACCTGCAATATTTATCCTCATGAAAATATCATAGAAAAACATATAAATGTCATAAATTGAGACATTAAGTATTTCTAAAGGAAAAAGGGGACTTAAAGTACTACACAACATAAATGGTTAAACTTGCAACTATTTAACTATGAAGTTTATTTTATATTGTGACCATGTAAATGTCTATTTAGCATAATTAATATTCCTAAAATGCCCATTTCCAGTAGAGCTTTAAAGGTGCTACAATCCCTCATCACAGGACTAAAGGATCTAAAAGTGATGGATTTCAGTCTGATTATGAATGTACTTTTAAATGTAGCATGTCGTCAGAACTTAAGTTGATTTGGTCCTCTTTTCTTGTCAAAACCTAACCCTAAAATCCTGTATACAATGTGAATAAAGCTCTCAGTATGGTATGGCTGGGGTGGGGTTGCAGGGCAGTGGTTATAGGCTCAGCTTTAGGATCTCTTTGTATGATAACTGCACAAGTCTGATGATTAATAAAGTGATTGGATGCAACATGTTTTGTTGATACCATTAAATTGTCACCCAGTTAATTCTATATTTTATATGAATGTGTCCTGATCCATGAAGCCATTAAAATATATGATGTATACATTTCAAAGTGCCCATATAAGGCTGTTGAATAACATACATGTCCACCTCATGTGGCACCATGCCAGCTGTAAGGTGATCTGGTGTTAGTCTCTGCCAAGTCATAAATTAATATTGAAAACTGGAGGACGTAGGTATCACTTAAGCTTACACACATGCCTCTCACTGCTGTACAAACTTGTACTGACTACATTACTGTACACACCTAATGCAATAGATGTTTCAACTTTATTCTACACTGCATTTCCATGCGCTTTACCGCTACAGGGACTTTGCTGCCCTTGTTCTTATCTGTCTGTTTCTGTGTAAGTACACTGAGAGCTGTGGGAAAAGAGTCTAACTCCTTGTATGGATACACATACTTGGCAAATGAAGCTGATTCTACAGATCAACTCCTCTATACACAAAGTTGTACAATAAGACACATGAGTTTAGATGGAAAACAAGTTTGAAGTTACAGTATTCAAGGGACTTTTCCTAACAAGACAGTGTTATATACATCCAGATTTACAACGGCATAAATTTAGCTGACTTATAACTCTTAGTGGGGAGTGTGCGCTTACAGGATTACAGTCAGAGTACTCACAGTAGCACCAAATCAAGGGTGGACTGGAGTATGCAGTGTGTCAATCTGGGGAAACACTTGGCCATTTTTCCAAAGCAAAACCCCTCATTAATGTATAATACTACTTAAATCGGACATCCAGAGCTAGCTGAACAAAATTTAAATTTGGTGTACGTGTCCTTATGTGAAGGTTAAATTGCTTTGCTGGTGCTAATCCATCATCATCAGTGTGACTGTGCAGTAAATTAGATTTAACAGTGAAGCCTGAAAACAGGCAGCAAGGCCTCTGGGAATTGCTGTCAGCTGTCTAGAATTGAGAAGATCTCTAAGTGTTTGGGTTTATCTCTCAAAACGAAGTCCCATATGTTGTTACAGCACAGCCTGTGTCTGAGAGGGTCATTTATTTCATTGATAAAATATACTGAAGGTGGAAATTCAGTTTACTCTGTATTTAAAATCCAGTGAATTCATATTCTTTCATAATCGTGTTATGAAAATGAACTTGTTATTGCATTCCTTTAGTAAAATGTCAAATATCTTATTATTTACTATGCACTATATGCACAATGCAGTAGTCTGTATAAGTGCACAGAGATTCATTGGAAGCTGAGATGCAGCTGGTAGCAGGAATTAGACACCAGACTCCCCATGGATTTTCATCATCTGGTGGACAGAGAAGGAAGTGACAGGGAGCAGGAGAGGCCCATCTTTAATCAATTTCTATGTTTTGTCTTGTGATTACAAAAGAATTGTATTATGATCTTGACCTAACTGACTTTGTTTGCTTGTGATCAGGAGATATTTACAGTGCTCTAGAGCAGGGGTGTCAAACATATGGCCTGGGGGGCCAGAACTGGCCTGCCAAAGGGTCCAATGTGGCCCTGTAGATGACTTTGCACACCTAATGTTGATGCACACGTGAAGGCTGAGATGTTTCAGGAGCAGTGAGCAGATACGCCCATAAGAGACTGCCTTAGAGGCTTTTCCACCCTGACCAGAACACAGCTCTCTGAAATAACAATGAATACTTACTGTAGTCATATTTAAAGATAATAAACATCGTGTAAAATATTGTCAACCAACAGCTTCAGTCCATAAGCATCTGTATCAGATGTCCATCTGAAAACGATATGGGCTGAACCCTGCTGCTGACACTGAAAAAACTTAAGATTGTAAGGCAGGGGATGACTTAACCTGCTGTTGTATTATTTAATTATAATTATTGATGAAATAATGTGAACATCACTCTAATTTTGCTGCTGGTAAAGGATGGGCTAATTTGTTTACTGTATATATGTCTGTGTAGCCTGTGAATTTCACCAAGGAAACACTTAAAGTTTTATCTTCATCCATATGGCATCATAATTTATTTGCTGATTATAACTGTATTAATAATCAAAGTAATAATAATGTTGTAAGATAAATATAGTGGAGTAAAAAGTGCTGTTCTGCAGAATTATTTCCTAAACACAGTCTTGATGTTGTCTCAGCAGGATCTTCGAACCAAGGCAGACAGAGACCACTGTTTGCGAGGAGAGGACAGTACGAACGACAAAGGATTTATGTGCAGGTAAGATCTGGGTGGTTGATATTCCAGTCACATTGAGCATCGGTCCCTAGTTAACGGGAAGCGTTTGTGCCTTGCAATACATTAATTATCTTTAAGGGTCTAAAATCTTGTTTTTTCTTAGTTCTACACACTGAATTTTGTTTTTTATCAATTGAAAAAAAAAGTCCAAAGATTCAGCTGCATTTTGCAGAAACACACATCTGATCATGGATGGATTCTGAAATGATTGACCATTATGCCACCTCACCGTTGTGTATAAAAGGTATCAGGGAATGGGGGGGCACAGTTGTCTCACCTTTGAGCCAGCATCGGAGGTAGTAACAACGCCAAAACAATGTCTGTATAAACAGGACAGCTAGCAAGACGAATTCAATCAAAATATTGTGCATGTGACCAGCTGCAGGAGATTTAAAAAGAAAGGAATAAATAAATAAAATAAAGGAAGAACAGCAGTCGACAATGTTGGCAAAGGGGGAAAACAGTGAGGTCCAGGAGCTCCTTACCTTGCGAGCAGAGGATGAGATAATGCCATTGTTACTGTTTAGCGATGTTATATGTCACACTAGAGAGGTCGACACCGTTGTGTTACATGCCACAACCGTCATGCCGGCTATGTAAAGTCACACACTGAAGTGGAATAATGCCGCCTGTGTAAAGATGCAAAGGCAGCATAAAGACTGGACTTTGTAGTGGCCCTATAATGCGATCTCCGTGTAAAAAGGGCTTCTTTGTGTCTCTTTGTAGTCCTTTTATATGTTTCTTTAATGTCATTTTAAGTCTCTTCCTGGTCAGGATTTGTTGAGTGACTTTTTGGGAGAAGGTGATAAAGGCAATGTCACACTATCACTTGAACCAAATTTACCCACTGTGTTTCTCTCTCTCTTCTCTCTTTACCTTCCAGAAGCCCAAAGCAGTCCCTGTTCTTCCAAAGGACGTTCCCCCTCCTTCTAAAGTAGCACTCAAACCTGTGAAGCCCAAGTGCTCTCAGCTTACACAAAGCTGTATGCCTCAGTCTGGCTGCTGTGACCCATGTGCCAAATGCCACTGCCGCTTCTTCAATGCAATCTGCTACTGCCGGAGGACAAAGTCGTAATACGAGGAGAGAGCATAAAGGACACAAAATACACCAGAAACGAGGCACAAAAATAAGCTCAAACACACACTGCAGGCCAATGAACAGAGATGCCGTCACCCATGCTGCCACATCACCTCAACACACAGACTGATGCATCATATGAATGGGACAATAGGTATCATCCCACAAAGTCAGCCTCTTAAGACGATAAAGGCACATTTGAAGAAGTTAAAAAAACTTTAATACCTCTTGTGAAAGGCAGCTGCTTGGAAAAACTATTATATCACCATATACTTAAGCTTAAATTCTTCTGTAATACTTTTATTGTCATGGGAATTCCTTTGAACAATACTTATTGTATGTTATCAGTATTATCATTATTGTTGTTATTATTTTTTATGTCGCAGACGTGGTATTTCACCACTGTTACAGTGTTTCAGCACTGGTGTCTACATATATTTTCTGTATGTGTTTTGTTTTATTAACATTATTATGACTCTACATGTGTCAATTACATAACTGAGCTTTATCTGATTAAAGAAGTTTATTATCAGCTCCAAGTCACAGATATTTGACAGCAATCGGGTATTAAATCAATTAATTTAACTGTGCTTTCTTGTGTTATTGCTCTCCTGCAAAATGAATTCATACCACATGGTCTCTTCAATCGACTGTCTCTAGCTGCAGTCTTTAAAGTGTCATCTTTGGGTATATTAATGTGTGTTTGAAACGCAAGTGCTAAAAGTACAAGCCCCAAAGTAAGGTGAAACAGAAGACTACAAACATGACAGTGAGGTAACGGTAAAGCACTACTGGATTGTTTGGATAATAGCATTCATGGCATTCATCATTGATAATACACAGACAGATTTCTGTTTTAAAAAAGCTGATTTTTGTACCTCAAAATAAATGTTGTCAATTATTCAGAACCACATTATTTCACTGGTCTTACTTGGTCAAACTATGTGACGTGATTTTTTGTAAACAATCTTTATGACTGTTAGCCATCGAAGCATTTCTTTGGTCAGTGACAGCCCAGTGTATTGTGTAATACTGAAAACATTATTAATAAATTGTTTTACATTTTGTGAAATTGCTTATTTGCCCGCTTGCCAAGTGTTAGAAAAGAAGAAAGATACTAGGGGAGAACTATTTGGATGATTGTGTTATGTTGGTAACTTTCAATTCAATTCAATTTTGTTTATAAAGCCCAATATCACAAGTCACAATTTGCCTCACAAGGTTTTACAGCATATGACATCTCTCTGTCCTGGGACCCTCACAGCAGAAAGAAAAAACTCCCCAAGAAACCCTTTAACGACAAAACACAAACAAACAAAAAAAATGGTAGAAACTTCAGGAGAGCAACAGAGTAGGGATCCTTCTTCCAGGATGGACAGATGTGCTATAGGTGTCACCTGTAAAGAACAGATCAACATGATAATGATTATGATTATGGATAAATTACACATTGAGAGAGACTGCGGCTGGGTATTATCTCAGTGTGAAAAGACAGCTTTTTTGGCAGTGACTGACGCAGAGAATCGCTGCCCAAGCACCAGATTTCAACAACTTCTGAGTGAGACGAGGTTGTCAAATGTTACATCTGCCCCCAAGTGCAGGGGCGATTGTAACAACACACACACAATAAAAACCCAACCATTTTAAACCCACTGAACAGCTAAAGTCAGTTTAACTGAAACGGTATAATTAATCACACGATTATACAAACACATAGACATAACTTTTACATGTATGAGACATCAGTTTGTCCACTGGCAGGCAGAGAGTCTGTACAGCAAATATGTAGCTAATGCCAGCTGGACACAGCTGACCTGTCTTTAACACATCCCAATTAGCCTCTACAGGAGCATTAATTTGTAGATTGATCTGTGGTAAATAAGGATCTGCCTGATCCTTACTTACCACAAATCAATCTAGAGGTAATTTGGATGTGTTAAAGAAAAGTCATTTAATTCAAGGAGCCCATTATCACAAATCACAATTTGCCTTAAGTGACTTTACAATCTGTAAAGTGTAAGGCACCCTCTTGCCTAAGACCCTTAATTCAGATGAGGAAAAACTGCCCCAAAAAACTTAAATGGAGAGAAAATGGAAGAAACGTGAGGAAGAGCACTCAAAGGAATCCCCAGATGTTGTGTGTACCAACCAACACAATAAAATTACAGCATAAACATCCAAATGACAAAATATATACAGATTGTAAACACAAGCAGAAACTGGATCCAGGAGGATGCCCTGATCTCCTCTTGATGCACTGTTTTCCTCTCGGTTTAATTCCATTCGTCATTAATGTTAAGTGTTCTCTGTTGTTACTCACATCTCCTGTTTCACAGTGCTTCCTGTGCTTGTTTTTTTCCCACCAGTTTTCATTGTCAGCCCTGCCCTGATTGGTTTCAACTGCCTTTCTCTAGTCCTGCAGTCAACCCACCTGTTCTCACTTTCCCAATTATTGTTGCCTACTTATACCTGCTTAGTTCCTTTGTTCTTTGTTGTTTCCTCTTGTGGTTTCCCTGCGTTCTTGGGTTTTCCTGCTACCTGGTATCCATCTCATCTGCCTGTAAGCCCGATATCTTTAATTAAAGTACTGTTTCTGCATCAATCTTCCTGCTGTTCTGCATATGGGCCCTTCCTGCCTGTACTGCTTCAGTTAACTGTGACAGTCAAGCAGCAAGGTGTCTGAGAGAGAGCGACACAATGTATAAAAATAGAGATGAACTGGATCCTAACACTACGAAGCCATGTGAGCAGTGATCTGGGAAAGTTTTATTTGCAGCATTTTTATGACCTTCATGACAGAACACTGTGTCCTAAAGGGCAAATTGGCTTTTTACCACATCATTGCAATATTGACTAGAACTCAACTTCTTCAGAACTGAAGACGCTTTTTGGATAGAAGGTGAAACATCTTCAAGAAACTTAAGGGTTCCCATGACCTGGATGACTAAACATCTTCACCAAAACTGCAATACTGACTACATTTACACTCTACACCAGGGGTGTCCAGCCCTGCGTTCCAAATCGCATACTTCTACTATATACTTTTAGTATGTACTGCAGCTGCCCTTAAAAAGTATGTAGTGTAGTAGTGCAGTATGCATGCAGTATGCATACTATTGGGACACACTACATCCGCCATCACATCACTCCCTGAACTCCGACCCTCTTGCTCACTTCCGCCGCCGTCCGTAGCGCCACATTGGAATATTTTGTGTTGTTGTACTTCGGCTATGCAGCAAATCTCCTTTCGTCCAGCTCGCCAGAGTCGTGCATACCGTCGGAGGTGCCGGAGAGCTCTGTTGCTGTTATGGCGTCATGTATGTTGTTGTTTCTAATAAACTGACGTGTTCACGTAAACAGTCCCAAGCCTATTATTAGTGACCTGTCTACTGAACTAGTCACCAGTAGGCATATTAACCCCCTTCACACAGAGCTCTCTGTTGCTGGCAGATGTTTGATGTTAAATATATTTACAGCTATGCAGCTGCTGGCACTATATTCTGTCTGCACGTGAAGCAGCCTTACATTCACATTACTTTTATTTGTAGTGTAACATACTTGCACATTCTTACTACATTACTTAATATGTATTTGACTTTTAGTATTTATATATTTGTTAGTCTATACTGCTCATACCTGGCCCATAGTGTATTCATATTTAGTCATATTCATTCATTATTTATACCACACTTACACCACTGCCTATACTGGTAGAATCTTCTATATTGTAGTCATAGTTGAACCCTAACATTGATTATACTATAATCACAATAAAGTTGAATGTTGTAACCGTGTTCTTGCAAAACTGTATGATATGTGACAGTATATAATCAGATCATTGCAGTCCTAATATGTAGTGTCTTAGAATCTCAAATTAAATAAATCATGTATGAAAAAAAGTGTGGGCGTTGGTTGTACACGCAGCTCAGTCAGTGTGACGTAACTTCCGCTGCGCAAAGGATTGTGGGTCAGAATGGCCAAAGAAGCATGCTGACATGCATACTGTGAAATATGACCGGATGTAGTAGAACATCCTGGTACTTTTGGCATACTGCATCTGACATACTATGTATTGGGACACACAAATTCTTTTTCTGGCATATTAAATAGTATGGTAGTATGGGTACTGGAACGCAGGGAAAGTCATTTTACTTCCTGGACCTCATACAGCCCAATTTGATCTCTAGTGGGCCAGGGCAGTAAAACCATTGCAAAATAACCTATAAATAACAACAAATGTCAAATGTTTCCCTTTTTTTAGTGTGAAGAAGTACAAGAACACCCTGAAAACATTCATCCATTTATAAAACAAATGATCAACAGCCCGTGATATACTGCTCCTGCTCCACTGTCTCCTGAAAGTAGCCCAAATATGTACAAATTCAAAAGTAAGTCTCAGTTTTTCCACATTCAGTCAGTCTGCTACTCACTTTTACATGTGACTTATTTTCATAATTTTCCACTCCCACAAAAGTGGAAGCTGTTGAGGAGGCAGGTTAAGTCAACTCCCTACCTTACAAACCATTTACAAATCTGGGGCCATATTCACAATCATTCTGAGAACACTCTCAGAGAGCTCCTGTCTTAGCCTAAAAACTTTTCATACAGTAGGGAGTCCTAGCTTAGGAGTGATTTAGGAAAGTTATCATAGCAGCTCTGGGCAGGGAAGAGGTAGAAACTTCTACCTGAGGTGTGGTTGACTCTCTAGGTGTGATGCATTCTTTTAACAGATGTGACTGGCTGTCAGAGGCATGCCCTTTTGTGAGCCTGCACGGTGTGGACACCCAGTGGAAATGGAATTAACTGCTGACTGTGAAAGTGGTGCATTGTTGGGTTTTTCCTGTTTTACAAATATCTTAGTGCTGTGATCACTTTATTTCTGGTGTTATATCATCAGATAGGAAATGTGTGTGTATCCCTAATGACATCAGCCACAAATATTATCCCTGCTCGATCTAAAAGGTAGTATTTCATTTCTCACTGTCATCCAGCCTTTGGAGAATATTTCTCTTTGTGTTTCCACCATTTTCTCCTCTGCTTCAGAAACTCTTAAGCCCCTGAGAAGATAAAAGAGAATAACTTTTAACTTTCTAGGGACCTAGTCTAAACTTTTTTGAGAAAATTTTCACAATTCTAAGAATTTTCTTTTTTCTCTTTGTACTAGAAAGCTTTGAGAATACGGCCCCTGAAGTTATGTCAGTACTGTAGCAGCAGGGTTCGACCCATATTATTTTAAGATAGAGGTCTGATGCAGATTATTTTGTACTGAAGCTGCTGGTTTGCAAAATTTTGCACAATGTTAAATATCTTTAAATATGACCATAGAAGTACTTATTGTTATTTCAGAGAGCTGTGTTCTGGTCAGGGTGGAAAAGTCTCTGAGGCAGCATTTTACATGAAGTATCTACTCACTGTTCAAATTGCTCCTGACTCTGGCACCTCGTAGACCCCGATCACACAGAAAGCATTTTACGGGTCCCATCGAGGCCCTGCATGCAGAACTTTGTGTGTTCATATTAAACGTGCAAAAAAAAAAAGAAAACACCAGCCAGTGCATGCAGGGCAGAATGAGGTTGCTACCCACTGATTATTACCATTAAAAACAATTAAATTTTGGTTTTGTCTCAAACTGAGCCCCCAGGACACACTGAGATTTCAGGCACTACAAACTCAGGAACTGAACCCTCCATACAGACACTTATGTCAGCTGATCCTGAAACTCACTAATCAACTAACACCCATTACCGTTCAACCTCAGACCAGCACTCCATTCCAACTACTAAACAGAGTAAACTAAATTATTTCATAAACAAAATACCTATCTGGAACACTGAACAAATTAAAGCTCAAAACAAACTTCATTCCCATCTGGCCCTAAACCACGAGTATACACTGGCACAGTATCTCTTTACTGTCAGAGATACAAAGCAGAGACAGATCCTGACCAGATACAGACTCAGTTTAGCCATAGAGAAAGGTCTTGGTGACAACGTGGCAGATGAGGTAGAGACAGAGATGCACTTCCTCTTAAAATGTGACAAATACATTAATATCAGAGTGGAATACTTAAAGAAATTGGTTATTCAGAAACTTCACAGAGCTGTTTTTTTGTACGTAATGGCCTGATGTTAATAACACTACCTAAAATATAGTTTTTAAATTCCCAATTAGACGTCTGAAAAACAATGACCTCACAAGTAAATACACCCTTGAAAACACAAATCGATAATTTCTCTGAAGTTGCTAAAATCATAAATGTTTGTGATATACATTACATACCACCCTGTTCCTTTAGGAGCAAACATATTTGTTGTCATGGTGACAGCTGCTCCATCCTCCTCCCCTCTGTTCTCTGTCTGTAATTAACTTTGATTTAAAAGTGAGGTTGTTGAAATTCTCCATTGTTTTACAGCATAGTTACCATCAAAGGGGCTCAAAGGGGCTTTTTTCTTTCAGTTTAGTCAGGGCACAACAGAATTAAAACAGATTTGTAACAATTAAGATGACAGGAGATGCTTGTTCTGTGTGTTAGTGTATCATTGTGTCTGCTGGACAGAGTCACAGTACAAACTGTAACTGGAAAACAGGGCGTCAAACTTAATGCTAAAAAAACTAGACAGTCGGAGAGGTCTACACCTTTTTTGGTCATGAAACACTTGTTCTTCAGCAGGCGTGCAGGAGATTGGAACACAGATGGCATAAACAAAACTGGAAGTTTACAGCCTCTCGTGGCAACAGTATGAATTCAATTTAATGGGTCTGCTGCCAAGCTGCATGTTTCTTGCACTTAAAGGAATACTTCACCCACAAAATGACCATTTGTAAATCTATTAGTCATGCCGTGTTACCTTGAAGTTATGGGGGGAACTTTGATTTTCTTGCATGCCTCTGCGGATAATGTCAAACATATTGATTTATTTATAGACTGGGAATCACGTTTAACAGCTGCAAAACTATATAAAAAGATCCTTTTACAAACTCTCACATAATACATGCCGCATAATCCAAGTCTCACTTATTCAGTCATATGCTCAGTACGTCCTCTGGCTTTGAGGAGAGCAAAGATATATTTAACTTTGGGTTTAGTTTTTAGTTAAAATGCATGTGTTTGGGAAGCACTGAGCATATGAGTAGACATGTGAGTTTTGGATTGTACTGCATGAGTTGTGTAAGTTTGTTTAGTTTTGTTTTTATATAGTTTTATTGCTGTTAAACATGGTCCCCAATAAATCAATATTTTTGCCATTATCCTTGGAAGCAAAACAAAGAGTTTTCTTCCCAAATCCAACATTACATGGCATGACTAATCAATCAGGCTGTCCTTGTGCACAGTTTGTGCATTTTAAAGTAATGAAGTTAACTTAGGTTTGGGAGCAGGGCTACGCCTCAACCACACCTCTAATTACCTGCCAAGTCTACTTATACCTGATCAACCCATCCTGCTCTGTTTGTCTCAGATTTCTTGACCCACCCTCCCTTTCCCTCCCCTTCATCCATCATCCTCCCTACCTCATACCTACCAACATTCCTTCATCTTGTCTTCCCTTCTCCCCTCATCTTTTCTTATTCAGTCTGGTGCATACCGCTGTCATGTCTTATTCTAGGTACAGTCTGGGGGCCTATAATTAGCTCCGATGGATAAATGCCTGAGACGGACCCCCACACTGAGTTGCCCTCTTCCCGATCTCCAGTAAATCCTCCCAGATCAACCTATCAGAAGACATCCCTCTTCCACCCCACTTACATCCACTCACCAGTCCTCAACAACTAACACCTCCTGAATTACAATTAAACATTTAAATGACAAATTGTTGTGGTGTGGTCCTTGCTGATGAAATGCACCAAAATTTGTACCTATATGTAAATGCTTCTATCACATGTCCAATGTGCTGATAGGGGTAAAGAAGGAAGATGTCCTGTGACAGGTTGTGGCAGCAAACATAACACAACACTTTCCACAGGAGACCGGTGTTCTGAACTGTGTGACCTTTGACTCATTTTAAGGTATGTTCTCACCTTGTTTCTTTTCCTAAACCAAACCACAATATCTTTACCTGCCTAAACCTAACCTCCATACCTTTATGATAATTACCTAACTTTACGTTAAAGATATAGAGTCATTCGTGGCCTGCTAATTCGCAGGATGTCATATGAACTGTTGTGCTTGCATTTTTTGGGTGTATTCCTTTAATCAGTATCAGTGCATATAAACTTAGATGTCTCTTTGACACTGTAGCCAAACTTACCCAAAAACAGCCAACCCTTTAGCTGCAGTGCAATATATCAGTTAGTCTCTGTCCTTTTTAAGTTTGAGTCTTCTTTTGAAACATTGGGTGCATTCTGAATCACATACTTTTTCTTTTTCCTTTTAGTAGGTACTGCAGCAACCTTTAAAAAGTACACACTGATGCATACAGTATGCACACAATCAGGATATACTACTGTCTCATAAGTTATGCCCTGAACTTTTGCTCTTATATCCGTTACCTTGGAGACAAAACAAACCCCATTTCCCGAGCTTCCTCTGCTGTTGTTACTTTGCAAAGTATGTAGTTTAACTTTAGAGTTATGATTGCCTAGATTCTAACATATTATATTTGAGGCAATGAAATTAGGCTGCACATGCATTTCTCTTTTATTGTAATTTTTGTAAGTCATGTCCTTTTGTTGTTGGTCATCACTTATTTGAATGTGCTGTCATCCATCACTACGACTTCTGACAGCTGTCAAATAGCTGTCAGTCAGCTGTCATCTGTTTGCAGTTCAGTCGACATGACCTATCATTCGCTGTGCAGAGGATAGTGGGCCAGAATAGCCTGAAAAGCATGGTGGATTGCATGGGACATACTAAACCCTTTCTAGCACACTTTATAGTATGGTAGTATCAGTACTGAAACGCACAGATTGTCTAAGCGAATACAAACCACCCACCTCTTCCAACCCCTTCCAGCTAAACTTTAGATCTCAGGCCATTATTGGGCCCTCCAGCGCTTAATTTTGTCAACTTGTTTCTTACGGATCGCCTTCCTCGAGGAGATTCAGCCTCTCTTCTCTCTGTCTGCTTGTTTCACTCTCCTATCTGTCTGAATGATGTACTTTAGCTTTGCATCTTGTGTGCCAGTGTAATCTGTCCTCTTTCCACCCTTGAGGCAAATTTATTATTTTGGGGCATAAAATCTACAATAAAACACATACAGTACATGCATTGTACATTATTTTTTATTGAAAGCATTCCAAAAGACTGGGTAGGTTTTATCAGGATGAAACCTCCTGGAACACATTAACTGTAAGCAAAACAAGAAGATTTTACAGCCAGGGAGATTTGAACACTTTACCAGTCTGTACTGTTATTTCATGTTCATGTTGTTGTATACCTGCTGCAAATCTTTTTTATTTTCAGGGAAATCTGCTCTATTGAATTATGAGTTAAAGATCCAGTGTGTTGGATTTAGTGGCATCGAGCAGTGAGGTTGCAGAACTGAAACTGAAAAGATATAAAACTCCCCAGTGCCAAGCGTGTAGGAGAATTCCAGTGGCTGATGCAAAACGTGAATGGCCTCATCTCAAACCAGTATTTGATTTATTTTTTCTGGACCACCGTAGAAACAACATGGCTATAAAGATAGAGATTACTCATGTCAGAAACAATATGATAGTGTGTTTCATATGCTGGGAAAGATGAAGTTCCTGCGATGACAGTCATATCAGCTGTGTCTTGAGACTGAGATATCATAAATCAAACAAAGGTTTGGACTAATTTAATTATTCTTAAAATATTGCTCCAGATTAAAAAGAAAACAAAGGTATATAAATTGTTCATTGGTAGGTCAGGTCTGAGGTGAGGGGGAGAGGAAAGATGATGAGAGTCTATTGGCACGCTCTGCAGCATTTGTTTAGTTTACTGTGACATCTCTGGACCTCATATTTGCGAAAACAAATAGCTGATGTGAAAGTTCTGTCACAAAATCATGTTGTTACATATCCTTGTGCATTTTTAAGGGGGTATACAGAAATCCTGGAGCTTTGTGAGTGGGTTTACCTGTGTATCATGTAGACCAGTGGTTCCCAACTGGTCCAGCCATGGGGTCCAGATTTCTCCTTGGTTATTAGTTCAAGGTCCACACAATTTAAATTATTTACCCTTTCAAGGTAGTTTGCTGTCTCTCTCAAATAGCTGTCTGTTGGTCACTCTACAACAGGACATGGCACTGCAAAATAAAAGCACTGTGCCAGAAATTCAGTGTGCCTAAAAATTAAGTGTGTGTTTTTCACAAACATGACACGTTTTCAGGTCACTTGCGATCCATTCAGAATTTACCCACAATCCACTTTTGGACCATGACCCACCAGTTCTAGAACCACTGATGTAGACTGCGAGGGGGTCCTCCCTATGTTTCCCGGGTTCTATGTTCCCCGCTCAACCAAAAAGGGTTCTATGTTTCCCACTTGGCTGAGCGGGGAACATAGAACCCGGGAAACACAGAACCTTTTTTGTGTAAGTGGTACTGGTCTGCATTTGATCAAGGTGAAAATCCTACCCTGAAAATGAATTAAACATGTAAAAAATGTATGTATTCAAAGTCAGCACCCAGGGTGAAATGTACTTGAAGGAGCACAAACCTGCTCAGTCTGCAATGATGTGTGCTTCTGGATGGTTCCTCCCCTCAAATCAAGGGGGGGGGGACTCCATTTAGAGCTGACTGCCAAACAAGAGAAATATGGCTCCAGTTTTTGTGAAGCAAAGGGAGTCGGCAAACATCCTCCCTTTTTCCCCCAGTTTCCTATCCAGCAAGAGTATGAATTCTTGCCTCCCGTTTGAAGCATATCCCATGCAATATCACACAGGCTGGCCTATAAATATACACAGCAATAAAAAAGTTTGAATTTGTCAGCCACAGAAGCTTGATTCAGTACAGTGAGATGTGTTGATACTCATGGGTGGATTATGAAACAATGGGCCCTTGGGCACCAACATGCAAAAGGCCCCAGTACCTCTCCAACCACTTCTGATTCCAACTCATCAAATACTACTGCTTTGTCAGTGGACCTAAATGTCAACATATGACATGCTAGTAGGTAGCCCCTTGTGTCAGTTTTGGATGTTCACGGACGGCGTCTCAATTGACGCTTAGTACTCATGTTGTAAGTTTATTTTGAAAAGACTGAATGCATATAATAAGTTTATTCCCTTGAATGTAGGCACCAGAAGTCCCCAGTTAGATTCACGCAACAAAAGCATGTGGTTAGGTTTAGGCAACAAAAGTCTGTGGTTTGGTTTACACACCAAAAGCAAATGGCACAAAGGTTGACCTCTCCTACGCAGGAGCCAGACACACAGATTTTGAGGTTTTTGCCTCATTTTTTGTTGTTGTTGTTGTTTTGTTTCTCTTCAAAGTCATTTTGTGTCTTTTTGGGTTATTTTGTGCCTCTTTGCAGTTCCTATGCATCTCTTTGTCATTTTGAGTCTCTTCCTTGTCAGTATGTGTTACAGTGATGAAGTGAAGGTCGGGGGGCCCCTGACACTTTGGGCCACTATGCCCATGACTGGTAGGTCCATTCAGTAATCCGTCCATGTTGATAATGAAACTGAAAATAATTTCTTCCACAGCTGTTGCTGCACAAATGATCAGTCCACCCGGGGTCAAGTCAGATCATGAAATGTAAATTCTTCTTTTTGCAAACTTTCAAAACATCAAAGACCACTAAAGATAAAAAACATTCAGTGTAATATTTATGTCTGAGATTTGGCTCAACACTGAGAAGTGTGTGGATTTTGAGTTGAATGAATACGACGGGACTTACATAAATAGAAAGAAAAAAAAATAAGGGGGTCTGTGGATAAGCTTCAATTGTATGGTAGTGGAATGTATGACAACTGTTAATGATGTGCTGGAATGTATCACCACATAAAGTTGCTGGGGAAAGAAAACTATGTAATTGTTAGCTATGTGAAACACCTGGAACTATCATAGAAATATTTAAGAATGGTATGGTAACAAACCTAAGTGCTACAGGCAACTGGACTTGCTTGAACTCAAGATATATCACATAACATTATCATGACATAGAACTAGAAGATTGAGAAACTTCACCAACATATGGAAAGAATGTTTGCCAAGAAAAATCAAAGGGTTTTTTTTATTTGTGATTTTACTGACCTGTAAAATCCAAGCAAGCACAAAACAAGTGAGGACTTTTATCAAAACAATGTGTGACATGAGATTTTATATGGCCATTACTTGTTGAAAAACATCACACTGTGCCCCTCTAATACATAATAAGTACTAACACAAAACTGGAAAACAATTATGAAGAAGAAGATGCCAACAGAGCAGAATTATAAACTTTCCAATAAAACAATACAACAGAAAATAAAATTATACAGATAATGTGTGGATCACAGAGGGACTACAGAATGCCTGTAAAAAGAAAATGTACTCTATATAGAGAATTCATGAGGTATTTAACTCCTAGTGCAGAAAAAAAGGAAAATATAGAAATAAGTTAACAAATGATATGAGTATATGTAAGAGGGTCTACTATATTAAAATATTTCAGGATAAGAAAAACAGCAGTAAAGGCACCTGAAGTGTGTTAAATATTAAACAGCATTGTTAGAAAGAGATCTAGAAAGTCAAGTTACCATCAGGTTTTTTTTTATTGGTAATAATAAGAGATAATAATAAGGCCATAATAATAAGGTTTAGGGGGTACTTTTAAGTAACTTTGTAACTTGTCCTTCCAAACTGATAGATTTTTAAGCAAAATGAAAATCACAAAAGTTATAAAGACA